GCAGAACTTCCAATTTCAACATGGTAACTGTTGCCCTTCAGGACGCAACTGTGTTCAGCTCCTCCCCAACTGCTTCTCACAACTGCTGACAAAAAACAGGCAGAAAGACAGCACAAACAACTCCTGCAAAGGGAGTTATCTATGTAAAAATAGTGGTTAACCCTAAAAGCATTCTTCTCCATGCAAAGTGCTCATTAACTATCTATATTTGAAACGTCCATGAGTAATGAGCAACCCCATCTCTTATGTTATTTTCTTGGTATCTTCTGTTTATGTTAAACTTCTGTTTATCTGCCCAGCAAAGACCTGAATAACTAACAAAAACTGCCCATAATGATACAGCCAAATATGTGAACAAGTTACTGATGGACAGAATCCGTCCAATTGGAATGACAGTCACCAATCAGAAACAGAACTGCAATCAGCCCGTACTGTGCTTCTATCTGGAAAAAGCACATGGGCAAAATGTCTGTTCCATTATAACCCAGTTCTGGTTTTATGCCAACAACATCCATCTCAGAAAAGACACTCCAGGTATGCAGTTACTTAAGTGGAATCATAAATAGTACAGTCACCATTTCCACAAGAAGATGCAGGTAAGTGATAAAAAGGTGATGCCCCAGTAAGTTTCTGAAGTTCCCTGGTAATTAAAGTTGCTCTCAACAGACTAGTTCAAAGGCATTATCAGAAGTACTGGTATAAGGTAATACAGATGAACTTCAAAATAGCAGCAATATTGGACACAGGTTTTTTCTGACTGTAGAGTAACAGTGGGGATTTTTTGCTTTGGTTTGGTTTTTCTACTACTGACATACAAAAACATTCTTCAAAAGAGCTACAGGCTCAATGAAATCAGTAGCTAAACTATTAGGAGTATGAGACATGAGAGACGTGGCCCAATTCTAAATTTTTCTTCTCCTCTTACATAAAACTAACACCTGAACACTTGCAAGACTATAAACTCAACCCAATCCAAGAACTTCACAGAAGTCTTTACACTTGTTACATTTTAATAAGCAGTGCAACTGGGGGCATATGTGGGGGTGTGTATGCATGTGTGGACAGGCAAATATCTACACAAGTATGTACAATTTCATTGTTCTTGTACTATTTTTGCTGAGTAGTACTGGAATGGCACTTTTTTTTCCTCCTTTTTTTTTTCCTTTTGAAAACATGAGCAATGTTGGGTTTTTTTTCAAAGAGCAATATGATCACTTCCAATGTTTTACCAACGTTGAACGTAATTTCACATGAATTTTCACAAATGAATTTTCACATTTTATATCATTTGCTTGGTTCCCAACATCTCTGGCACATTCAATGTATTTTCATGACAAAGAGAAGAATTTGATACAACTAGCATTTTTTATCTATTCTCTACATTCAAATCTACCTATGAAAATGCAAATATGTTAAAAGGTTAGTACATGATAAATCCTACTGCCCAATTAAATGTAGAACCAGCTACTCTTCTTGTTAATGAGTTTACATGCTCAAACTCCTGAATTAGTTTATGCAGGCATAAGAATTGGACAAAAATACTGTAATTATTTATAAACTATGTCTATTTAAGACACAACTTTTAACAGTTACCCTGTTTCCATGCTGTACTTACTACGCAGAGAAATGTCCCACACTATGCTGGTCAATGTTCTTTTGGGAGATCTAAAGATCTAAACCCAGAATAGGTATCTGCTGTATTTCATATAAAGTGCATCATCATCAAAAAACAGTTCAGAACATGCAGACTCTTTTTCCTTCCCTTCTGCTTTCAAGAACAATACTCCAACAATAACTGTTACCAGTTTATCTCCTCTGAGAGGATACGTGGTGTTAAGGAATGGATCCCTCCGGAACTTGTACTTTTGGTTTAGTAGATCTATACCAGCCCCTTATACTCTGAACTCAAATATGAGTCCTTTTCTTACAAAGGTTAAGGAAGACAAGAAGCTGTAAGCTCTTTGAAAGCTTAAAGATCAGACAACCAATTATTTTTAGTTACTTACACCTAGGCTGCAGCTAACTAGAAAAACCAAAGCCAAAACCATAAAGTTATTTGCTATAAAGCAAATCCATTTTTATAAGGTAGCCTCCTCAAAGAGGAGGGAAAAAAGTAATAACCAACCACAGTCATATTCTGCTTAACAGGCGCAGGACAGATGTAGCAATCACTCTGAAAACAAACTTTTAAGCATAAGATGAATTCCTGCTCATAAGTGAACAGCACAATCCCAAATTTGATACTACGCCATAAAAAGTAAACACTTGTTAGTATAATTTTTCAGCACAGTAACTACAACCATAATGGTAGTAATAGCATTGACACTTAGGCTCCCTTCCTTTCACAAAATGTCCTGGGGAGATTGACTTTAAAGTACAAAGAGAAAAATTCACATTCTGAAAATATTTTTTAATTACAAACCACATTCTAAGGTACTAACTTCATTATCACGACATGCATTTGTAGTGCACAAGCATGACTGAAATATAAATTTAGCTTTTCTTCCAATGAGCTGAACCCCCAGTTTGCTTTTTGCATTTTTTCACAGAAAAGCTGTATAGACCCTATAAAATCCTACAATAAAAGTTATCAAGATTGACAAAAAGCAATTATTGAAAACCCTTCAGTTCTCCAAACACTGTCTTAAAGTGTCCTTCTCTGTATGTGTTCTACATATTAGAGGTGCTAAGAACACAGCAAAAAAAGAAATTAGACAAGCTGTAAATTTCCTGGTAAGTCAACTTGGGAAACATGATTCAGTACCACTACTTACTCATTTTTTCAATTTTATTTTTTTTTTAAGAACAATGGACTTTAAGACATTTCTGTGTTTTCAGCTTAAATGGTGATCTAAAATTCAAGTATTCCAAGATAGAAAAAGTGAAAAAAATCATCTCTTCCTCCAGAGGATTATTTCCCTTAGTTATACTGTGGTTAATTTTAGAGTTTTACAGTATGTCAGTTTCCAGCAAAATGAAGTGATGCCCATTATAAGAAGTAATTTATTTACCCTATGGAAATCTTCATCCTTTAGCCAAAGGTAGCTTTGACACTACCAGGAATCTCTCATCACTCACTCAGATCAGTAACCTTCAGAAGCCAAGCCTTGTTGAAAATGCAAAAGAATCACCCTCAGTAACCACAGAACCTTTCAATTCCTGGCCTGAGCTCTCACGAGCTACTTTGAACTTGAGAAAGGTATCAGCAGAGTCACCATATGACTCTTCTTGTTTCTGCATTACACAGTAATTACAGTATGTTTCTTCATTTTAAGGCATGCAAATCATGTTTATTCTCAGAACCTCAGCATACTAATATTGGCTCTCCTAATAAACAGAAAGCTGAAAATAAATCTTATTTGTCTAACTTCCAACTTGTATGACACATCAGAAGCCTCAAAGTCTTTGCCAAGGTATGACTGTTTTTCACTCTGTATTTATCATGGAACTTCCAAGTACAGAATTATGGCCTTAGAAGACAGAATTACTACTTGCAATTCAGAATCTTTTAGGCATTTCTACTCTTTAAGCTTGTAATTTTACAAGCTCACCATCATCAACAATCCTGACAAAAACTGAAAGTGCTCAAGTTTTAAATCAGATTAATGTATTACTATATGAAACTTACTTCTCTCAAACAGTATAAGATACATAAGGTACTATTTAATATTATTATCTCTCCTTTCAGTTGTGGGATGGGTACTTTTAAAGCTTTCAACCCATTTTCTGAATATTTAAGTGGGGCTATATTTAAATCTACACCCCAAGAAGCACATGACCGACAGTGTTATCAATGACTGCCTACCAGACAAGAGTTCCACAAGTTTGATGGGATATCAAATGATTTGAATTTGAGACTTTAAATGCTATTCCTCTAGATTTAGACATTTAAAGCAAATGAAATATCAGAGTATTTTTTTCTTTCTCCTCTTGTTTGCCCCACCTAATTTTAGAATTCTTTAGACCCTCTTTTACTTGAACTATCGACATACAACTTACAAACATTCAACTGAAATGGAGGAATGTTTAGTTTTCACAGAATGAAATATCCACTTACAGCATCTTGGTCTTAATCCAACATGCTCCATGTAAATATACCGTCTAAAGCTGTTTATGCATGAACAGCTGATGCAACTGAAAACTGTCAATCAGGAGATGATCTGCATGCATACGTAAATCTATCTAGCTTTTTTTCCAGCCCCAAGGATTGATGGGTTTTAGAGCTGAACAAGCACTCAGAAAGATCTGTCTTATGTGTACTTTGCTGCTACAGGACTCAAAATGAACTACACCAATCCTCCTGTACAACCTAAATTTTATTCTATTTCTGCTGAGCCTGATTTTTCCTGTCAAAATATTAACTATATTTTCAGCAAAACAACATCAGTAAAAGTAAGCTATTTAATCTGCGAATACACTTGGCACTTTCAGTATTCTGACTGGGGAAAAATGTAAGAACTTCCTAAAAGATCAATTTTAAGAATGACAAGTGACTCTCAAAGATGTTCAAAGTTCCTATTCTCAGTTCTTGAGAAACCTTACAGTAACTAGGCACAAGTCTTCAATATGGCATAATGAACTGGTAGATATTAATTTGTTATATTTTTTTCAGACAGATCCATAACTTTTAAAATAAAATTAATGAATGATCATCTGCTGGCAAGTGGGGGCATTAAAAGGGAATAATAACAAACAAGACAAGACTAAAGGCAGTAAGTTAGCCTCTCTAGAAACAAACCCTTTTTTTTTTCCCCCTCTTTTTTTTTTTCCATAAAACTTTGGAAACAATATTTCCATTCAGGGAAAACATTTTCCTCATAGACAGTTGCAGAAAAGTTTCAAAAGGCAAAGAAAGATTTCAAAACTCTGCAGGTTCTTCAACATTCTACCTAGGCTGGATCGACATAATTGTGGGCATGCAGAGCATGGAATAGAAACAAAAACCAGATTAAGATCATTAAAGATTTTTCCCTTCTAAAAGCCCTTGAAAATAAGATCACCTGTATGCATCGTCTTCTTTCAAGTCTCATATCATCCTGTAGGGGTGTGGGGGACAGGGGGAGTCCAGCAGCAAACAACACTGCAAAATGAAGAAAAAAGTAAATGTAAATACAAAATATTAATATAACTAAAAAAAAAAAACAAACACGTAAACCTTCATTCTACTAAATCTACATAGTGCTTAATTCAACCCTAGCTCTCAGATATAACCGCAGAGCTAAACCAAGGTAGTTACAAAAAAAAAAGAATAAAAATTAAGTTTTCCAACAGTAGAAACAGAGACAAATATTACAAAGACTACCTTCCCCTAACATCTAATGTTAGGGGGGGAAAAATAAAAAACTAACAAAACACCTATGTAAATGTTCAAATTTCAGGGATTAATTTAAATTTCAGCTGCTTACTGAGCTCTTCTGAAAATTAAGATCATCCAAAAAAAACTCTTCTCAAACCTACCAAAGTAAAATTATTGATAGTTACTCATCTTTACAAAGCCCTTCAATATGGGGATTTTTATAGAAACTCAGGACAATATTTATAAAACACATATAAAACACAACTGAACTTCTGTGGGATTTTACCAAATCAACAAACTACAAAACTGTAAGAGCACATAAATCCATAAATGTGCAAGTCCATTTTTATCTCATATCTCACCTGAAACTGAATTAGGTTCACCTTAAACCAAATTAAAATATGTTCAGAAAAAAAAACTATAACTTTCTACAAGACAAAGATATATAAAGACATGAGTTTCTAGGAGGAAATCTCCAACTGGAGTTAAAAAGAGAACAGTAGGATTATGCTGATTAAAAAACAAAACCAAACCAAACTCCACAACACGCATCAACCAACCCCTGGTCAAAGTATTCTTCAAGTATTTGCTTTTCACTTGTTCTCCCAACAAAATTATCACTGGTACTCTTCAACCTACGAAAAGCACTTACAAATTACTGAGAATTTTAGAGAACCTCTGAAAATTACCCAACAGCTCAAATTGTAGAACCTAGATTATTACTATTTAAACACCTCCTGATGTATGTAACTCCAAGAAACTGTGTCTAGACTAAAATGCACTTAGATACTGCAATTTCAGTGGAAAACATTGCAGTTCCATTTCTCCATCAACAGTGACCGTTCAAGCACTTACATTCTAAACCCACCCAGCTTTTCTGCCACCACACTGGCTTCTTCCTTGTGCCATGGAAGTGTGACATGCACACACAGAGACACACACACAGCGGAGGTGTGACAAGAACACAAGGAAGAAATACTTTTTTTATACATGCAGCACCATTGTAGCGGTTGTATTGGTTTTTTTACGAGCAGGGGAATTACTGCTGTCATGGCTCCAAAAGACAGAGGGGACAAACAAAAACTGGCCATCACACATCATGAATCAACAGCCTTGTTTTTTTACTGCTGAAGTTCCACAGAGACATAGAATGTCACTGCCACATCCACAGCAGCCATGAACTTGGCGAGGCTGATGAGCATTGCCTAAGGCTACATAAGATCCTACAAACTAGGCATTCTCATGCCTAAATCGCTTCAATTTGGATAAAACATTCATTCTGGTATGTATGCTAAGTACATACATCACAAGACAGTGTCTCGTACTGAGCTTAGTCCCACTAAACCTAGCGGAGGCAGGCACTTATGTCCAACAACAAGACAAAAGGAAGAGCAAACTCTTGTTCTTCTTTACACTAAATAGTTCCTGGGTTTAAACCCAGATTATGTCCAGCATATATGGGCGTCTTAGGGCTACTGAAAGCTCTCTATGGCCAAGATATTTATGGCATTACCTATTACATTATCTATGGACTATGGACTATCTATAGAAAGCTTTTTCCAGTAGTATCTGCAATGACTGAAGGCATTGCTCTTTTGTCTTTACCACCCTGTAGCTCAAACACAGTAAGGATCACCTCTCTCACCTGCATCAGTACAAAGCCAGCTTCAATCCTAAACCAGCTTAGTTAGAACTATCAAAAAACGTGCTTTGAGCAAAGCAATCTGACTTTCAGCCAAAATAGATTGTAGAGCATTCATACATCATCTTCTGCCAGTTCTACAATGGGAATGGTAAGCTCCAAAAAGCAGCACATTAGCACATCTCCAGCGCTTTACAACAGAATGTTGTATGAAACTGACTGCAATGCTAGCAACATACAGCTCTGTTGTGGGCAACAGACTGCCAACTCTATTCCTCTTTCCATAAGAAGAGGAAATCAGTTGGTAAGAACATGATATCCAATAAACACAGACACTACCAAGCTATAGCTACAGAACCTGAAATCATACAGATGATTTTGTCAAAGCAGGAAAGCAACTTCATACATGGGGAAGTTAGGCTTTTTGCTGATTGGAAATTAATCTAAAATATTTTAAGACCACTCAGAAGACTAGCTCTGAATAAGTAAGTCTCTTTCAGAAAATCCACAAAGTTGTAAGAACAGAGAAACCAAACTGGAAAGGTAACACACACAGACTTGAACTATTTTAGAATCAGAAGATGACATTAGAGCTACTGACAATAAGGAAGAGTTGCTGATGTAACTGTAAAGACATGGGGAATCAATACATCTGCCCACTTCAGAGCTAACCTGCAAAACATATCCATCACAAACCAGTGCATTTCTTCAGTCTCCTTACGACTCTCTATCATCACACTTTGAAGAACTGGACAACTAGTGTGGTATTAAGACTGAAGTGGAAATGCAGGCGTCCACTGTATTCCAAGAAAATATCCACAACTTAAAACATAACTTTAAAACATCATCAGAGAACAAACACAATGAGTTACTGTGATGGTAACAGTATCACAGACACAATATAAAAGAGTAACATTTTAAACTCTGGGGTTTTGTTGGTTTTGGGTCTTTTTTTTTGAATAGGTGCAACCAAATCACATGTAATAGCTGCAAAGGCAACACATTAAACTCAGTAATTGAGCATCTTCTGTTGTGCCTCTGCACTGCCAAGTTCTTAAAACCAAAAGGCCTTTTACATAACCTGTACAAGGGCTTCCTGGTTTAGATACTAAATTGGTGATAAGAAGAGGCAAGAACAAATCCCACTCATCACACAGTCTGTAAGAGCATTACTACAAGAATCCCTTAGTAACAACATTCAGTGGGCTTCAAGAAACCAGTTTGATCTACTTACTGGTATAAGAAGAGAATTGGGAATAAAAGAGCAGAGGGAAGATTGGAGGAGAAGGCATTGAAAAACAAACTATTGAAAGTGGTACAGCAAACGAAAGAATAAAAGCTGAAGTCTTTCATTTAAACAAAGAGAGCAGTTCTTAGAAATCACCTGTGTAAGAAGCTGTGCTAAAACTTTACTTCATGCTTTTATTTCCCATTTTAATTACTGCTGCTTTCTACTCTTCATCTTTACTACTCACACAATGCTCCCCTGATCTCCTCAAAACACAGATAATGGGATTACCTATCCAAAGCAACTCCATATTCATGAATAATTTCAAGTGTAGAGTTCAGCTTTACGATAAAATGTTTAGTTAGCTAAGCCAAAGATGCTGAGCATATTTTATTCCAGGTTATACTCCACCATATTATAAACATGGTGAAAAACAAAGCTTTTATGTATGCCTGACTCTTCCTTACACCATAAGCTTAGGTTGCATGTTAGCCTCTGAGGACTAAATTTTATTCCATTGTATTTCTTTAGAGCATCCACTCCTTCCTTCAGAACACTCAATACACAAATTATGTCAACAGGTTCACTATAAATCAAAGCTGGTTTCAGAGCAATCATACTTGTAAAAACCTAAAAGTGCAAAAACCTTAAAGTGTAAAAACCATTACTAACATCTCTCTGAAGAAGTTTCACTTCCCTCTATCGTTTCTCTTTTTCGGGGGGTTTGCTTGGATATCAATCAGATAATGAGTTTTTGCAAATGCAGATGATTTTATTACATTATGAGCACAGTACGAAGCCAGTTCCAAACGCAGCAAAATAGTAGAAGTTTTTAAAAAAACTGTATTAGTTCATAAACTTAAGAAGGTACCCAAGTCGTATAGTATGCTGCGTATTTTGTTTGTATAACAGATGATAATTTAAAGCACCTAGAGTTAAAAGATTCAATCCAATTCTATCCAATCCAGGTTTGCAAAGTGTTAAAGGTAACCAGCATGAACACCTTTATAGAAAGGCCACATTTTCACTACAATTTTCTGTTCATTTTAAGCATACATGAAGAATTCTTTCCATGACAAATTTAAGTAAGAGGTCTCAGAATATCAGTAATAGCACACCCCAGAACTTGAATTAAAAGAAAAGTCTGCTGGGGAGGGTTTTGCTTTCTACATTTTTCTAATTAAAATGCTTTGTATACACATTTATTTCCCTTATTCAGTATCTTCGTATTGCAAGATTCAATATGGAACCTTTCGCAAACTAACCACAACAAAGTTCTTGAAGTTTTTCCTCTGTGAAAAGGTTATTTTGTAATTTCTGAAGTCACACTCAGTAAGTACCACAGAAATCTCTTCATATCTCATGATTACACACACTGTTCTCAGAGATGAACACAATTCAGGTCACTGACCTTGGGTAAATGTAGGCAGGCCTGTTGCTAGCAACATGAAATATAAATACTTACTTAGAAGCAAAAATATTTTTTTATTTACTACAAAAATGATTCTATAGCATACAAAATTAAATTGAGATTATTAACATACATACTGGAATATAATGGATCTAGATGTATATACATCTATACAATATCAATTTCTAAGCTCTGATCATTCTGCATTTCAACAGCCTATTCTTGAAACTAAGCACAATCAGTTATGTTGTTTGACATAAGACATACATGGTAAAAGATTCACCGAATACACCAGATTTGGTGTGTTATTTAAAACACTGCGTAATAAACTGTGAAGCATAACTAGTGTTACTGGAATTTAAAATAAACACATAAATCTCCCAGGGTTCTAGCGATTGTCAACTTCCAAGACTACTTCCCAGAGAGACCCAACTGAGGAAATTTCAAAATCACTGGTTTCGCTGCACCTAAAACATACAACATCTTTTGTTGCTAGGTTGTGT